GGCAAGTACAGAGGGAAAGATTCCTCTTAGGGTAGGGTCACCTCTTAGGTCCCAAGAGCTTTTATGGGTGGAAGAGCAGATTCAGCTCTTTCCTGTCATACCTGAAAGCTGGTCAGATTCCTAGACCAGACATTTCTTTGGTGGTTTGTGCTTTTGGTGTCATATCTAAGAATCCATTGCCAGATCCAATGTCACGATTTCCTCCTGTTTTCTTCTAAGAGTTTTATAGTTTTAGTCTTACACTTAGAAGTCTTTGATCCATTCTCAGTTAATTGCTGTATATGGCGTAAGTGATGGTCAAATCTCATTCTTTTGCATGTGGCTATCCAGCTGCCCCAGCTGTTGAAGATGAGAGAGATGTTTTTCAGGCAACAATACATTGTGTTGTTTTTTGATCCAGGGGCAGAAGAACCTGAAGAGTTTTTCAGCAAAGGGGGCTATAAGATCCTGACCATGTAAACTTGTCAGCAGATGAACGACTGTTGCTATAAAGCACAGAGGAAACATCTCTCTCCTCAGCAGAAGAGTTGAGCAGACATCTGGGGCTGGCGTGATGGGGGCAGGGTAGGGATGCAGGAGAGGTGGCTTTTGGGCAATGAAAAGGTCAAATTATGTGGAGGTAGCAACAATGGTCGCCTGAGTTGAGGAGTACTGAGTGGGTGCACATTCCACGACCACTGTGGCACAGGTTTTCTCCAGAGGGAAGAAAGGACCTTAAGGGCATGCGGTTCAGCATTTCTATTGGTGGGCACTTGGAGCCAAAAATTATTTTTGTTACTTTTTTGCTTGGTCTCCCCCATGAAGGCATGGCCTGGAAAGGCATGAGTTACAATTAATTTTCCTTTCCAAAATGCTATTCAAAAAGGAACATTCTGTTTTCCAGGATCCAGGCTTTCTGTGAGAAATTCTATACTAGCATTCAAAATTAAGCCACGTTTGCCAAAATGTAAATGTCTTTCAATGGCTAATTTTTTAAAAAGTGACTGCTTATGTTTGTAGCACAGAAAATAAGAGGAAAAGGGAGAATTAATTTATCTGAAAAATAGCAGCTTTATTTTGGGGATGGCATGCCACAGAGAACCGATGTAGTTCTATAATATTAATCTATTTCATATTTTCAAATGTCAAAAATTCAGTTTACATTAACTGCCACAAATTCAGTGAACATTTTTCATTATACACTAAGCAGAAAATTTGAAATTAAATGTTCAACAATATTCAGACAAATGAAGAAATCCCCTCCCCCAGGCCATCCTTTGACAGAACTAGGACAATCCAATATAATAACCTCTAAAAGGATTAATTCTGCCTAAAACCAGATCCTGAAGAAAACCACATGGCACTTTCTGAAATCTTCTTGATAATGTGCACATCTTTATTACATTTACAATTTATGAGCTGGTGATGACATGAAAGAGCTAGAGGAGGGAACCTTCACAATCAGAATCCTCAGGAAAAATCTATAATGATTAAAATATACAACACAAAACGGCAATAGGGTTCCATTTTGTTTGTCTTCAATTGATAAAATGTTTGAAACATACCCACTGCTGGCTACAGTGCAGTGAAACTGGTCCACATGTACATTGCTGATGGCAATGCAAAGCAGCATTGGTAATGCCAGGCAGCACCATTCGAAATTTGTAGACGATTCCATGATTTGCATTATCCAAAGGAAAGGCAATGTTTTATGCCTGTTTAAATGAAATTAATGTAAGAACATTTGTAAGCTGAAAGTCTCTCAGTATCTAATGGGGTTGGTGGTAAAATGCCTTGTGCCCGCTTAATGAACATAGGGACACTGTAGAGGCATTGAGGTATGCATGTGACACAATGACAAGGGGCACAAGGAGGTCTGTCAAGGGAGTGGGAGGGGCAGGTCTTTAAGTGCAGATTTCCATTGAGTAGTGAAAATATCATTAATGTTGTCAAAATGTTTTTTATTGTTGTTTAATAAAAAAGGTAAGTAATTTCAGGGAGAGTATATTAACTTTCAGTTTTTTGTAAGAGAGTGCAAAATCAAACTTAAACAGCACCTCATTTTTTAAAACGCTTTTATGCTTGGCTTGACAAGACTAGACCAGTCTGTGATTTCTTCCACATAGTATTAAGTATTTTCTCCCATTAGGCCAGGGAGGAAAATTCTCAGGGTATGAAGCCATTAGGTAGACATGCTGAAGGAGAGAGTAAGAGCATTTCCAGAGAAAGGTAAATGTCCTTGAGCTATCCCAGGGAAGATGGATTCAGCAGCAGCACAACTTCCAGGACATCACTCACATTTTATTCTCTGTAAATGGGGTGCATCCCGTAGAACACACTGCCTGATGTTTTGCAATGCCAAGGCCTAATGATCCCCTATTGTTGAGGACACAGTTGTGCCTACCCAAGTCATTTTTCACATCTTCCTTGCAGAATTCCTGCTAATGAGTAACAGAACCCATTCGAGCTAATTTAAAGCTGGAAAAGAATTTATTTAGGGATATAGGGAGCTCACAGAATCCAGGAGGGCTGGAAAATCAGGCTTAAAGTCTATGCAACTTGGGATAATACTTAAATTATACCACCAAACTGCTCCAGTGGAGACATGTGGCCACTGCTGCCTGTAATACAGATGCTGTCGATGCTCAGCTATCTCTGAAAACTAGACTCTCTAATAATAGTCTATCCTGCCTTCACTGGAAAATGAATTCTGTGCACACATGAAAGAGCAAAAATGTAGCCCCCAAATTAAAATTTTTTAATTAAAAAAATTTCTTTTAAAAAATGAAAATTAATTCTCCCTGGCACCTAATCCTTCACTTTGCCTGGCTCTGAATTTAAATGCTATGAAGGTATGCCCAATTAGTGGCCTCCAGGTAGAATACCTGCACCCAAACATACCTGCCAATGAAGGCTGGCAGGTCTCATAAAGGGGACATTTCTCAAATATCTGGAACCATAAATATGACAAATAAGAACTCTTTACCATGCTTTGTCTAATTGCCCATATTACTCTTTGTGGCCATGAGCTTTGGGAAAGCCTCCAACCCTCGTTATCTTGAATAAACCAGTTGTAGACATTCCCTTTCCAGCGATGGTATCTGGCAAAAAAGACACGTGATCAAATTCTGACCAACAAGCTCGAAGAGACACCTGCTGAGGGACTTTTATAAGAGGGTTTTTTCAGTCTTAAAAAGAGATACAAGGACACAGGAATCTCTGTTCTGCCTCTGGATCGTGGGGCATGGGGGTTAAAAGTCCAGAACTGCTGCAGTCCATCTAGTGACTGACACTTAAAATAGCAGAGCAGAAAGATGGAATTAATCTTGATTCTTTGTAACATTACTTAGTTCCTGACTCAACTAGCCTGTGTCCATCTCATCTCAGAATGGTTTTGTGAATTAATATTCTTCCTATTGTTGGAGCCAGTTTGAGTTGAGGTTTTACTGCAGCTCAAAGCACCTCGATCTACCCTCTCTGTGTTCAGTGTGGTAAGGATGATTGCAATCACAGAAACTTAGGGCTTGGTCATCTCCTTGGCCTGAAGAAATTAAAATGAGTGGGTAAAGTGTGTCCAAGTTACCAAAGTCAGTCTGAACAGTTTTTCCTTTCAGAGGAACTGACATGCCCACATGCACACCCCTTCTGTAACAGTGCCCTATTTCCTTTTGTTGAATTCCACTCCCCTATTATGTTTAGTAATTGGAGACCCCCTGCCCTATCACCTAGAAGGATGAGGGAATTCCTAGAGGTTCTTAAAAAAAAAAATTTAAAGACATATATTTTGCATACAGAGCTGGGGTGTAAGCCAGAGGTGCAGGGATGAGAGAGAGTGGGGAGCAGAATAGGCCGATCTACTGAAATACACTGCTGAGGGGAGCAAGGGATGAGTCAGGAGACGTCTGCTGCACCATGTGTGGATTGCTCCCTGGCCAGGGATCAAACTCTTGCTGCAGTGGCTGCCTATAGCTTGATAGTGCTGTGTTTAACCCCTGTGCCGCATCACCAGGGAGGCCCCAATTCCTGGAGGTTCTTACTAGCAGGAGCTTCCTGTTACCCTCTGGAACTTCCAGGGGCTAACTCAAGACCTAAGCTCAATCAGATTCTTTTCCTTAAAGCTTTATATCTCCAACCAAGTGACTCAAGGACAGAAAATAGCAGTGGGTGTTCATTCATTCCAGAAAGTCCCACTCCAGCCCCGGTACCTGGCTGGGACTGCTGTTTTGTCCTGCTGTCTGGTTGCCCAAAACTGCCCTGGAGGAATATCTGTTCTGTTTCTAAAACCACCAAATTCCCAGGAAACAGAGATTTCAAAACTTCCCCAATAGCCCAGCCAGAGACATTCCAGTATGAGAGCTTACACACTTGAAGAAAATCCAAATTAGAACCTTATGAAAAATCAGTTCTACAGTTCCACCTCTTTCTGTAAGGATTGCTTCAGGGCAATCCTTTTAAACTGAAGTGCTCTTTATACATGAAATCTAGCCTATTTCTCATTCTTGCCTCTTATTCCCAAATTTTGGAGCTTTTTAATTACCAAATAAGTGATAAAAATCAAACTGCTAAAATCAAACAAGCTCATCCAGAAAAATTCACAGATGAATCAACTGCTCACAAATAATTTATGTTTATAAATTTCAGGGAATATTGGTGTCCCAGACCTCTGCTTGCTGGGAATTTGAGAAAAATTATATGAACTATTTTTTAAAGTATTTTATTTCTAGGAACTGTAATAATGAGTATTATATGACATCCAAAGGCAAAAAGGATAAATAAAACCATTTCATTTTTTTCACTGAAACTTTAAAAACTTACATAAACTTTTAATATTGTGGTCAAGCACAATATTAATAATAAAATAATCATCTTAACTATTTTAAAGTTATAGTTCAGTGGAATTTTTAAAGAAACATTAGCCAATTTAATGTTTTGGGGGTTATTAAATATATTTGCATACTATTTGCTAACATAAGAACTTGTGAATTTTCAAGTAAAACCAAAATTCTTTGTTCTGTCCTCAGGAAATGTTCTAAAGCTCTGTACTGAAACCACATTATAGCATTGACCTCTCTTCTGATTTTGAACATTGAAACAAATAAAAATGATCCAACAAATAAAGAGAAATACATTCATGATGCAAATCACTTAACTTCTCACTGTAAACCTTCAGGTAATTAAGCATAACAGATAATGTTCAGTACATCTTACTGTAGTCACAAGAAATTATAGATCAACTGTTATATCCTTAAAATGTTTGTGGAAATTTTCATCAAAACTGCATGGTATTAGAACAAGAACAGGCACACAGACCAATAGAATCGAAAGTCCAGAAATAAACCCACAGATTTATGGTCAACTAATCTTTGACAAAGGAGCAAAGAATATGCACTGGAGCAAAGAAAGTTTGTTCAATAAATGGTGCTGGGAAAACTGGGTCACTACATGCAAAAGAATGAAGCTTGACTACTATCTAACACCATTCATAAAAACCAACTCAAAATGGATTAAAGAACTAGACATAAGACCTGAAACCATAAAATACATAGAAGGAAATATAGATGAAACACTACATGATATGCACATCAAAGACATCTTTACAGACACATCACCCAAAGCAGTGATAGTGAAGGCAAAGATAAACAGCTGGGACTACATCAAATTAAAGAGCTTCTGCACAGCAAGAGAGACAATCATCAAAACAAAGAAAAACCCAACCACCTGGGAGAACATTTTTGCACACAACACTAATGATAAAGGACTGATCACAAAAATCTACAGAGCTGATGAGACTCAACAAAAACAAGAAAATAACCCATTCAAAAAATGGGCAGAAGAGCTAAAAAGGAACTTCTCTGAAGAGCAAATGCAAATGGCCAACAGGCATATGAAAAAATGTTCAACATCACTTGTAATCAGGGAAATGCAAACCAAAACTACAATGAGATACCATCTCACACCAGTGAGAATGGCACATATTAAAAAAACTAGCAACAACAAATGTTGGCGAGGTTGTGGAGAAAAAGGAACGCTCCTGCACTGCTGGTGGGAGTGCAAACTGGTCCAACCACTGTGGAGAGCTGTGTGGAGATTTCTGGACCTACTAAACATAGAGCTTCCATATGATCCAGCAATTCCACTCCTAGGTATTTACCCAAAGGACACAGAAACATCAATTCCAAAGAGCACCTGCACCCCTATGTTTATAGCAGCACTGTTTACAATAGCTAAGCTTTGGAAACAACCCAAATGCCCAAAAATAGATGACTGGATCAAGAAGATGTGGTACATATACACCAAGGAATATTACTCAGCATTCAAAAAAGATAAACTAATGCCATTTGCAGCAACATGGAGGGCGCTGGAAGGGATCATGCTCAGCAAAAAAGCCAGAAGAAAAAGAAAATTACTGGATGATCTCACTCATAGCAGGAATCTAGAAAACTCAAATAAGGGACCAGGAAAAAGAATAACTGTAAGAAAGAAAAAATCAAAATCAACGAACAACTATGAACCAGAGACACTCTATAGGGGGTGGGGGGTGGGGAAAGGAGGGATTGGGGTCAAAATAAGGGAGTTGTAATTGTATGGGTAATATAAAAATAAAATTTAAATAAAAAAATGTTTGTGGAAATTTTCCAATATATTCACAGTAAAAAGAACAGTATCATGAATCCCAATGTACCCAAGCCCCAACCTCAACAATTTGTATTCTGCCATAATTGTTTGATCTCCTCCTCAACCCCTATTCCCCTCGCCCCCACAGACACACAGAGAGCCAATTATTGTAATTTTTACTGGTAGCTCTTTCAGGTAACTTTTACATATTAAAACACACAAATCAAAACTGCAATTTTGACAAATGAATACTCCCTTGTAACCTAAACCACCAACATAATATAGAACATTTCCCTTTCCCCACAAAGTTCTCTTCTATCTTCTCACCATCATTCCCCATTCAGAAACAGCCACTGTCTTGATTTCTCACTTTTGATTATTTTGCCTATACTAGAACATCATGTAAGTGAAGCCATACTCCTTTGAATCTGCCTTCTTTTGCTCAGCATGTTTGTGGGGTTCATGATATCACTGAGTAAGTTCTTCTTTATTATTGCTGTGTAGCATTCTATGGTGAGGATGCTGGTTCTGACAGTACAAGAAACATGGAAGATGGTTCTTACCATCTGGTTGATAGACATTGAGTTACTTCCAGCTTTTGGTCACTGTGAGAAAAGCTGTCATAAACATCCTTGTATAAGTGTTTGCTATGTATGTAATTTTCCCAAATTTTGGAGCTTTTTAATTATAAAATGATTATCCCTTTTTAATTATAAAATAATTATCTCTTAGATAAGTACCTAGGAATGGGGTTATTACATCACAGTGTAGATCTATGTTTAATCCAATGTCAAGTCATTTCCCAATGTGGTTGTACCATTTTATAGACCGACGTATAAATACATTATCCATCAAAATATGACAATTCCAGTTACTCCACATCCTTGAGAACATTTAGTTTTATAATTTTTAAAAGTTTAGCCATTTGGAGGAACAGTGGTATAATGTTGTGGTTTCAGTTTGCATTCCCCAATGACTAATGAGGCCGGGTGCTTTTTCATATTAGATATTTGCAACAACATGAGGAACAGAATGTTGGTTTGTTTTGGTTTAGTTTTCTGTTCCTCTGTATTGGAACAGAGGAACATGTTGGTTAGATGTATATCTTCACTGGTAAAAGAGTTGTTCAAATATTTGCCCTTTTTAAAAAATTGAATCATTCATTTTTTTATTGTGGAGTTGTAAGGTATTTTCACATGTTCTGATATAAAAACTTTGACAGATACAAGTTTTGTGAATACTTTTCAGCTTTTACTTTCTCTGTTCATTTTCTTTTTCTTAAATTGTATTATTTTTTACTGAGATAATGTTGGTTTATAGCGCTTTACATGATTTAAAGGTTTAGGCTCACACCTCTTGTATGCTACACAGCATGCCCACCCCCCAAGGCATCAGTAATCCTCTACCAAAGTTTTGGGTCCCTCCCCACTTTGCATTTCCCATGCTCCACCCCCTGGTAGCCTCAATTCTACAGTCAGAATTCAAGGTTTGTTTTGGTTTAGTTTTCTGTTCCTCTGTACTCTGCATATGAATGAAGTAGCCCAGTATTTGTGTTTCTCCAACTAACTTATTTTGCACAACATAATCTCCAGGTCCATTCATGTTGTTGCAAATATCAAAATTTCATCATTTTTACAGCTGCATAGCATTCTATTGTATATAAACACCACATCTTCTTAATCTACTCATCTGTTATTGGCCTCCCAGGTTGTTTCCAGAACTTGGTTACTGTCAACAGTGCTGCAGTGAACATAGGAGTGCATATATCCCTTTGAATCAGTGTTTTTGTATTCTTTGGGTAGATACTTAGGAGTGGGATTTTTGGATCATATCGTAGATCTGTTTTTAATATTTTGAGAACCCCCCATACTGTGTTCCATGGAGGTTGGACCAGTCCACATTCCCCCATACATGAGGGTTCATTTTTTCCCCATACCTTTCCAACACTTGCTATTTCTGTTCTTTTTCATATGGACCATTCCCAGAGAGTGTGAGTGATAGGAAAAGAGAGAAAAGAAAGCAATCCCATTTCTTTCATGTCCAATTTTCATAAAGAATGTCTATCGCTGTTTCATTATTCTCCTTTATAAGTTAAGATTGAGGCTTATTGATGTAACTGGCTTAAGTGATTCCAATATGTTTTACATATCACTAGGGCAACAGTTGTAAATTGTTGGGGAACAGTTGTAAATTGTTGGAAGTTAGAGGTCTAAAGCCTTTGCCTTTGATGGATGATAATGTGTTTACTAAAGTAAAACTAGAGACACAGAGAAGGTGCCATTGTTTTAATATCTCTAACTCTTCTCTATACACATGCTCAATCTACTAATCAATCAATCCTCCAGCCAGTTAATTAGTTTTAAGTGGGTTAAAAAGCCACTCTTAAAATCTATTCCTAGAAGGCTTATATATTAATCATGCACATCATTGTATTAATCATTTTACTTACATGGCTTTCTTCCAAATGGCTATCTGAGGGAGAAATGTGTCATCTATTTGTTCCTTTGGAAAGGGAAGAGAGACAATTGCATATCTGGGGACACTTGATATAGGCTCTAGGGGAAGAAGAGTGTGATTTTAGGAAACAGAGAGTATGGTAGTTTCTAGAGGGCAGAAAGAGTAAAGACGTCAATTGTCAAGACTCTGTTAAAGACTTTTGCTTCTTTGGACTTTTCTTTGCCTCCTTTGGACTTCCTAGTGGTGGCAACTGAACACTATGGCCACTGTGCTATGAGCATTGCTTAAAATTCCACATGTGATGCAACTTTGGAGAAAAGTTTTTCTCCTGATTTGTCTTTCTCACAAACCTAGCCTCATTGGGTTGACTCATGGAAAGAATGGGCATTGTGCTTACAGAACAGCTGGACCACAGGCTAAGCAAAGAGCACCCTCTACATGATGGTTTCATACATGTGGCTCACTGAGAAAAGCACAAGAGTCACTTCCCCTAAATCTAGAGAGCCATGAGAGGTGGGGTGCAGCATCTGGCACGCAAACACTGTGGAACTAGTTCTGATTTTAGATACACTGTGAAATTTGTAGTCAGTTGTGTTTCTTTACTTTGGTCCCCAAGAAACTTATATCCAAACTCAGAAGTTCAAGAATGTCAGGTATACTTTTCTGCCTTTGAACTTCATCCTTATTATTTTATGATATCTTTCTACATTTGTTTTCCTTTTGCCCCATGACTATTTGTTTTTAGTTTATTATATTTTTATATATTCAATTTAAATCCTTTTGGGAATAAGGTGGAGTAAATAAATAAGGCCTGTCTAGACTGTCTTTTAAGAGTCTTGGTTATGCAGCATTATATGGCATGAAGAACTAGAGTTGGTTGGTACTTTTATGAGTGAGTGATGGAGTGAGGTATAAGCCTTGCTTTTGAATAGGAAAACAATTTTTAGATAGGCCAAATTTTTTCCTATTCCTCTCAAAGCTGAGTTTCCCTTGGATTGTGTTTTGTTTGTTTGTTTGTTTTTATTCCTTCCTATCCAGAACAAATTGTTCTTCTAGTCTTATTATTCTAATTTAAAGTCTTTCCAAGCTTAGGAAGAG